TCAAAGACTATTCCATTTCCATTCAAATATTGTAGGTGCATGAATTTGGAAAAAATGGACTTAGTGGACATACACAGTGTTTCACCCAACTACATCTGAATAAACATTTTTTTCAACTGCCCATCAGGCATTTTTGGCATTTTCTAAAATAGACAACATACTAGTCCACAGGTCATGCTTAAGTATATGGAAAAAAACAGAAATTATCCTATATGTATTATCTCAGCACAGTGAAATGACACTGGAAATAAATGACAAAAGAAACCAGAAAAACCACATAAATATATGGAAATTAAACAACACTCTACTCAGCAACCAATGGGTCACAGATGAACTTAAACAAGAAGTTCAACAATATCTACAATTCAATGAAAATACAATCACAACTTATAAGAATTTATTACTTGCAATTATAGCAGCTCTTAGAGGGAAATTTATAGCTGTGAATTCACACATTAGGAAAATAGAACGGGAACAAATACAAGTGCTAATGCTGCACCTCAAACATCTAGAAAGGGAAGAACAAACCAAACATAAAACCCAAGGATGGGAGGAAATCATAAAGTTTATAGCAGAAAACAATTATATTTGTTTCCTCATTTCTCCTACTTTCATATATTAGTACCTAATGTGAGGAGAATCTTCAATTCTTCACCCTGTATTATGTTTATTTACCCACTTATTGGTATTGGTGTGGTCTTATGTACTCCCAAAGACTCACTTTTTTAATCTGTTTGTTGTTTGGATTTTCTGAGACATCGTTCTCCTAAAATTACTTTTAAATAGTCTACTGAGTACTTTCTTTACTTAAAAAAACTTTGAAAACCACCTTCCATTTCTTAGGCCATTAACAAGAAAGTATGTAAATTTCCCATATACTTTCCAAATTATTTTTACATTCATGCCATTTTTTGCACCCCCCACGTGAGTGGTACATGCATTAGAATCAATCAGCCTAGAGTACAATATTATTACCACTGTCCCTAGTTTACATTAGGGTTCAATATCAGCTTTGTAAATTCTATATGTTTTGACCAACACATAATGACATATATGCCCCTCAATTGTTGTAATATTCCCCAAATTGTGCTAGTTTATAGTATTATTTTCTGTAGAATATCTTGTCTGTAGGGAGATATTCCAGGTTTTGCTTCTATTATCCCAGAGAGTGCTAGTAATGGGTATTTTCACAAGGATATCTGCTAACTTGCAGCAAAAATGCAATTTAGATTTCAAAATAATGGGGTATTGTGATAATATCTACAGAGATTTTGGTTTTTTTTTACATTCTACTTAGACAAAGGTAAAGAAAATGTAAACTACTTTAAAGGAACTAAGTATTTTATGTTTTACCATTTATAGCGATATAAAATATTTGTCTCCTCTCTCATTCTCAAATTGAAAATTTCTGATGAAAAACTTGTTGCACTGATACAATGACAATAATTCTATCATGCTTAATTTCAAGCTATCAATAGTGTGATGACCCCTTCAAAAGTGTTGAATGTTTAGCATGGTTTTTTTTTTTTTAAGAAAGGAAAGGTTTATTTAGCTCCCAGTTTGTGGATGTTTCAGTCCATATTGTGCTGACTCAGACGCAGTCTGGCACAGTGCAGATGGCAGCAGTTCATGGTGCCACAAAACAGCACAACAAAGGGAAGATCAACAGCTACAGCTTCTCCCAAGCCAGTTAGCATGGGTTTTACAACAGAATTGATCACCATTACATATATATCCATATGTGCATCTGATTCTATCCATTTTTCTCTGTAACATTGTCTGTCTGACACTCTGTATCTATCTGTTTCTATTTGTTTTTGTCTCTTTCTGTCTTTCTGTTTCTATCTCTATCTTTCTCTGTATGTGTGTCATTATCTCTGTCTCTGTCTCTCTGTTTATCTCTCTGTCTCTGTCGCTGTCTCTGTCTCTGTTTTCCCTTTGTTTTATCAAAACAATTGCTGAAGGAACTATTCTTGTTATATTATTCAAAATAGTTGTTAAATAAATCTAATTTTGACCTTGACTTGTGACATTGAGGTAGTGAATTTTAATATATTGTATTAATGTATTTCCATTTGAATTTAATTAGCCACATGGTTGCATAGAACCACGGTGCACAGTAGTGCACTAAATTTTGATTATACAATCCAGGAACACAGGTTTGTCCTACATAGGAGGACATATTAGATTTCTTGCTTTATCCTACCATTGCATCAGAGAAAACATCAAATTAGAAAGCATAACTGGATAAACCTTTCAAAGATGTGTTTTAATTTTAAAATCTATGAAATGGGTGGAAACATATTTCTTTCATGTTTCCAAGTGCAAAAAGGGACTAAACAACTGAAAAAATAGACTATTAAAAGATGGTTGTGACCTATGTCATGATAAAATCAAAAGGGAGGCCACAGTCTTACCATAAATCTCTTGGATGAGATTAAATTAGAGAGACAGTGGTTGTACTTCAAATAAATTCTGCTAACCCATTGGTTATTTTTATATATGTCCTGTCAAATTCTCTACTATTTCAATGTTATTCATTAGAATAAGGTAAATTTTACTGCACTGTACAGAAATCTAACATTAAGGCTGTTGCTTGTGGCACTCCATTGCCCCATTTCTCATCAAGTTGTAGCACAAAACAATACATTTTTAAAAGGTGCATATTTTTTATTTTGTTAGTTCTAGGATGAAATTTTAGCTTCCACATTTCTAATTAACTCCCAGGTAAATTCTGGCCCATAGAGTACACATGCTGAATTGCAAGAGTTTCTTTGTATCCTACTATGGTATAAGAGAGATATCTCATGAATGATTTAGATCTTTCAATTTTACATAGAGTGAAGCCTTCATATGACAAGCTCCTTTGAAAATTTCCCACCCATATTTTCCTAAGAATGTTTACTTTTTTCCTAGGGGAAAAATCTCATATTTTATTTAAAGTTACATTATGATTTTCCAAGGTGTATGGTATCACTGCGTGTGTTAGTGAAAATATCATGTCTTGAAATTATCCAGCTGGGTGGTAAAACTGATGGTATAGAGGACAGGGGAGATGGCTCAGTGGAATAAGTGCTTCCCTGGCAAGCAAAAGGGCCTGAGTTCAATCCCTGGTTCCCAAACAAACAAACAAACAAACCTGATGGTATAATGGGGAGCAGATGACCAAGAGTAGAGTTAACCAGGCCAGGGAGATAGCTCAGTAGAATAAGCGCTTGCCTGGGAAGTGCAAGGGCCTGATTTCAATCCCTGGTTCCACCAAAAAAAAAAAAAAAAGTAGAGTTAACCTTGTACAGGGAGATTAAATTTATTTTGTCCTTTTCTGGTTTGTGAGGCACACATCAGAGTAAAGTCTACTTTTGTGTGACTCAGATTTGCTTTCCCAAGTTCCTCCATAGCATTTTGGCAACTCCATATTGATCTCTCCTCATGTAAACTAGAAAGATCTAACCAAAAGTTTTTGTCTCCTTTCAGCTCTATCTGATATAGAGATTACAGCTCAATCAATTATGTTTCTTTTTGCTGGTTATGAGTCGACTAGCAGTACTCTATCTTTCATTATGTATGAATTGGCCACTCACCCTGACATCCAGAAGAAACTGCAACAGGAGATTGATGAAGCTTTGCCCCATAAGGTGAGTAGCTGTTGATGTGAGAGGCAGGGAAAGCATAAAACCTAAACCAGAAACATTTTGGAAGAAATTTGAATGCAACTGGCTTTGGCTGAGCTAGAAGACTAACTCAGATTTTCTTACATTTCCTCAACTTCAGTGCTGGAGGTAAATGTGTAGATCAAGGCTCCTGAGGCAAATTGCTATCTTCTTTTGTGAAAATTAATTTTACTGAGAAACAAAAAGCAATGAGATATTTTCAAAACAGATTAGTAGAACAGTTTCAATAATTAATACATTGCACATTGCTGTCTTCATAGTTGTTATTCATAGTACAAGTGGCAGACATGATATCTTGTCCAAACACTATTAGTTCAAATCTATCTTCTCATTGAATTAAGAGAAAGTAGCTGTGTGTCTATCCTATTTTGTATATACTGATACAAAATGGTCCTTCATTTATATTCCATTTTTTTTAGTTTTGTCAGATATAGGCATTCCATTGTTATTTAAATATTGTAGGTGTGTGAATTCAGCAAAATAATACAAAATAGTCCAGTAGTCCATAATAGTAGTGGGTTATCCTTAGGACTGGCTTCTAATTATATCCTCTCCAGTACCACGTGATGTGATAAACACATTATGCCCATACTCTTTCAGATGTCTCCCTAGAATAGAAGGTTACTTGATAATACCTGGAATGTGATATTCTTTTGCCCATTTAGCAATGAAGTAGACAAGAATAGTCTTCTTCAGAGCTCACAGTAAAGACCTGAGGGACCAACAGGGATCATAGTACAGTCACAGAAAATGGAGCTTCTCTGTTGTGGAGTGATCTCCTCTCTATAGAAATCTCACTAGACTGAGAGTTTTGCAGTGGTCTCAACCATTTGAAAATTTCCTTCATCATTATAGCATAAAGAAGTCAGTTTCTCCAAAATTCTTTCTATAGAGTGCCAATTTAATGTGTTTTTGCACAAATTTCAGATATATACTCAAAGTTTTACCCAAGTATGACTTGTTGAATTAATAGGGAATCTGACAAAAGTTACATTACTTATTATATAGGTCTTACTTTATCTTGGTCTTATCAATCCAGCAGAGTATAAAAAATGAGTTATAAAAAGTAAAGCCATATTAATATACTGAGCTGTAAAAGGCTTAAGTCAACAACTTCTGGCATTGCCAGTCCTATGGCTAACTCACTAATATTATGGATTAGTGGATTATATTGGAAAATTTGCTGAATTCATTAACCTACAATATTAAATGACTATGGAATACACTTCTCTTTCAAAACTAAGCAAAAAGGGAATACTAATGAAGGACCGTTTTGTGCCTGTACATACAAAATAGTTAGCATAGATATACAGCTACTTTCTCTTAAGTGAATGAATAAAAAGATTTGCATTAATTATGTTTGGATAGGTTATCATGTCTGCATCTTGTACTATGAATAACCACAAAGAAGATGACAATATGAAATGTATTAACTGTTGAAACTGTCCTACTAGTTGGTTTTGAAACTGTGCCATTGCTATTTGTTTCTCAATAAAATTATTAGAAACAACAACAACAACAACAAAAACAACATAGGATAGATATAAGCTACTTTCTCTTAATTCAATAAGAAGAAAAATTTATATTAATAGTGTTTGGATGGAATATTATGTCTGCATCTTGTACTATGAATAACCGCTGCAAAGAAAACAATATGCAATGTATTAATTATTGAAACTGTCCCACTAATTGGTTTTGAAACTCTCATTGCTATTTATTTCTCAATAAAATTAATTTTAAAAATTAATATAGGATCTGCTCTTTTTCATGTAGTATTTCAGTTGTTTCGACATGTGGCCTCTGTCTTCAATGATGCTACTTGCTTTGCCATTTATTCTCATGTGGGCATCTCAGACTGCTCTGGGGGTCGATGCTGGCATCACATGTGGTACAGTATATTGAACTGCTTGCCCTGTGCTTACCTAAGCCTGCCTTACAGGCACTTTGGAATGCTGAGATATCTTATCGACCACTGACCCAGTTAAATTAGAAAGAATTGCATTAGTGTGTCATATTTGCTCCTATGAATAAGAAAAACAGTATGCAAATACACTAAATTTTAAGCTCTGGATAGCTGACTTTTTAAAAGGCTGTCAATAATCAAAGTTATTCCAAATACTGAGAAGGTCAAGGTCATAATCACTATTTAAATGTCTATGAATCTCAATATCCTTTTATTTTGAAGCTCCTACATTTTCATAGTACCCTAGAGATCGAATATGAGGAAGATTCCAGGTATTAATTCTCAGTCTGAGGAATATCTGGGAAACAAATAAGTAAACAAAAAAAAAAAACACCAAATTTTTCCCATTCTGTAGATTGTGTCTTCCCTCTGGTGTGTCTTTTTGTACAGAATCTGGTTTTTCTTGGTACTATATGCTGTGTAACTTAGATTATGTTCAGAATTAGGGGCCCAGGGAGTTGGTTCTGTGGAATAGGTGCTTGCCTGTCAAGCACAAGGTCATGAGTTCAATCCCAGGTACCATGGGAAAAAAAAGAAAGGAAAAGAATGTACTTGGCTATGCATATGAGTTGAAGAATTTTACCTATTTTGTCTACCAACAAGTTAAATGTTCTGTATTAAAATTTATTTATTTATTTATTTCTCCGTTATGTATTTGGTAGAGGCTCTCACTACACAGCTCGAACTTGTAGTGATCTTCCTGTTTTCAGACCCCCTCAGAAGTGGTATTACAGGCATGAGCTACCATACCTGGTCTCCTTCACTGGCTCAGTGCATCTGGGTGTGGGGCTGGTGCAGCATGTAGTTAAAATTATGACTTTGATATGTATAAATCTGCCATGAAAAGGATAAACTTGAGTTATTTGTGGGAAAATAGATTGTTTATAAGAATATAATGCTAAGTGAAATAAGACACTCAAGCTTAGATATCACATTTGTACGAGAAGCCCAAAATATGACTAAAGGGCAAATTAAAAGACAAATTATAGGAAACATGAAAAAGAAATCCTTCCCAAATGGGAAGGGGATTCAGAGAGATGGACAAGAGATTGAGAGGCTGAGATGAGAAAGCATTAGGGTGTGTTATAAATATGTACCAAATTTCCACAATGAAAGTAATCATTAGGCCCTGCAATGAAGTAAGATAAGAAGAAGGAGGAGGAAAAGGAGAAGGAGGAAGAGTAGGAGGAGGCAATGATGAAAGGGAGGAATAAAAGAAGAAAGAAAAAATGTAGAAGGATGAGAAGGAGAGAGAGAACCAGAAGAGGGAAGAGATGGAGACAAGAAGAAAGAAGAAAGATAGGCACAAAGAGCAAAAGGAGAGGAATGAGGGAAGAAGAGAACGAAAAGGTGAATGGTGGAAGGTAAACTAAAAAATCTGAATCTCTCAAATGTATTTTTTAATTCCTAGGCATTTCCTACCTATGATATTCTGGCAGAGATGGAGTACCTGGACATGGTGGTGAATGAGACTCTCAGATTATATCCAGTTACTAGCAGACTCTCAAGGGTCTGTAAAAAAGATGCTAAAATTAATGGCATGTTCATTCCCAGAGGGACAATTGTGATGATACCAATATTTGTTCTTCACCATGACCCAAGATACTGGAAAAACCATGAGGATTTCTGTCCAGAAAGGTACAAGTTTCCTAGTAAGGAAACCTGTCTTTGACCAAGATGGTCAGTATAGGCTATGATGTCTTTTCCTAGAAAGGATGTGTGATGTTTGTGCAATGATTTTCAAATAAGAAAGGGTCCTCATTTTAGAATTTAGTAAAATTATAAAGTATCTACATGATCAGTGCTAAGACTCAAGGAAAGGAATACATGTCTACAATTCCCACACCCTAAAATAAAATTCTTATGAATGATAGCATTTATTACTATTGATATATTTCTGTGCATGTAAGTGTATAAATTTTTGTAACTTAAATATCACATTTCACATGTGTTTTCAAGTGATGCTTAAGATAAGTACAGTAAATGAAGAACTATCCACTCTTTTAAGATATGTGATATTTGTGCATATTTTCTCTCATTGTATCTGTGAATCTTATAAATTAACATGAGAAAGGCTAATTTCATATAAATAAGCCCTTTAAATATCATTTATTTATTTGGTAGAGGATCTCACTACATAGGTCAGACTTGTACTGATTCTCCTGTCTCAGCCTCCTGAGTTCTGGGATTACTGGCATGTGTGACTACATCTAGTTTCCATAGCAGGTGGCAAGCCCAGTGGTCCAGGGCCACCATGGCATGTGGTTTCAGGGATTGATCCCGGGTCCTTGCTGTTGTGAGGCAGGCACTTAAACCACTCTTCTATCTCCCCAGCCTGTATAGACTTTTATTATTTTTCTATTTTTCATGATGTTCACTTCAGATCTCTGAATTTGCCAGCAAATTCAAGAAATGATTCTACGTTTCAGTTGATGAAATACTGATTTCTGGTCCCTCTAGTGTGAGGGTAAATGTTCCAGGTGAGGGAGAGAAAAATCTTCCTCCCTGCTGTTGCAACTGCCTTCCCTAGGCACTGAGGAAAAGGAAGGTCTTCCTGGGCCTGTCTCTGATTGTCCTGCTGGCCAGGCTCCATCACATTCTCTGTTGTTGGTAACTTCTCCAAAGCCAAGGCATCCATCCTGTGAGGGATCCATTTGTGAGGGAATCTTTCTTGGAGGGGTGTGTTGCAAAGTCAGAATTTGGATAAAGTTTACACTGTGGAAATATATGTCATGTTGGAAAGGAGAAGAGAGTGAAGAATTTACTGTACTTGCTGATATGTTGGGCAGCCTTGGATCTAGGTTTGCTATGCATTTTATACTATCATAAACTCGTATTATTGCTCAAGGTTCCAAAGGGCTGTCACATAGACCACAAAAATTGTGAGAGGTAAAATAGGTAGTTCAGCTCTGCATTTTATTTTATTTGTTGCTAAATTTTTATTTTACTTTTTTTCAAACCAAATTAATAGAACAGTTTCAATAATTAACACATTGCATAAATTCTTCCTAGTGGTTATTTGCTGTACAAGATGCAGACATGATATCCTACTTAAAAACACTATTAGAACAGATCCCTCTATTCATTAAGAGAATGTAACTATATATCTATCCTAACCATTTTGAACACACACATACAAAACGGACATTCATCTGTATCCCCTTTTTTGATTTAGTTCTGTTATTTGAATATTATAGGTGTTAACTCAGCAAAGTATTCTAAAAGAGTCCAGTAGTCCATAGTAGTATTGGGTCTTCTGCTTCACTGGCAATGTCAGAAATTGTTGAACCGAGTCCCCTGCAGCTCAACAGAACAGCATGGCTTTACTTCTTATACTTCATTTTTATACTTTTCTGCTTGATAGTTAAGACCAAGATAAAGCAAGACCTATGCAACAAGAGTTGTAGCTTTTGGGTCTGATAAGATCCAACACTGCATTTTATGGGTAAGAATCACATGGTGCTTCCTGCAGCCTCATCGGTTCTTCTTTCTGTACCTTCACTTCAAAAATATGAGGGAATACACACTGGATTCCTTTCTGTCATCAAACAGAAAGTGTAACAGACTGATCTGAGAACCTAATAATTCAGATGTTGAAATATATGTGTTACAGACATTAACTGAGACACAATTGTTAAAATTTTATTTTGTTTTATTTCAAAGAGTAAAAAAACAAAAGCAACAGCAAATATGAGAAACAAAGACACAAACAGGGTAACACATTGTTACACAGGTTACAGATTTTCAAAGCAAGAATAGCAAATCAACAATGGTTGTTATATGATCTACTTTTATCCTAAAATCTGTTTTTTTTCCTGTGCTTTTTTCATTTATTACCCATTTAGAAAAAAGAAACTTTTACTTGTGACATAGTATGGTAATAATAGGTATGTCATGAGAAGAAGTATGCATTTAGAAGACCAGAATGACAGGCATTCCAAGTGTGATCCTTCTATGACACATTGCTATCTTCAGTGCAGTTGCTTTGTTCACAGGTATCAGCACATATTTAGTGAGGCTGAGAATCTTACCAATTAACTGCTATTTTCAAAACCTGGTGATGTTTCTCAGGATCATTCTCTTGCTCATTTTGTGCGTACAAATGTGAGCTTTTGTCCCTGTCCTGTTTCCCAGATTTTCTCCCCACCCTCTCCTTTTTGTCCAGTCCTCAAGTTCTAGCTTTCCTTTTAGTTGTATTACACGTTTCTAATTGCATTTCTTCTCTTGAATTCTTATACTAGGGAGACTATAGGATATGACATATGGGGGTCTGGTTTATTTCATTTATGAATATATCTTCAAGTGGGATCCACTTAAATATAAATGCTTCAAGTTTATCATGCTTTATAGCTAAGTAATATTCCATCATATAAAAATACCACATCTTTTTCAATCATTCCTTGTGTGACTGGCATCTTGGTTGTTTCCAAGATCTGTCTATCTCAAATTGTGCTGCTATAAATATAGGTACACATGTATCACTATGATATGACGTTTTCAGTTACTCCAGGAAAATTCCCTGTAGGGAGATAGCTGGCTTGAATGGGATTTCCAGTCCTAGTTTCTTAAGGAGTTTCTATGTCTCCATTCTGATATCCATAATGGTTGCCAAAGTCTACATTCCCATCAGAAGTGGAGAAGATTTCACTTTTCCCTACAGCCTCTCCAACATTTGTTATTGGTTGATTTGTTTATGATAGCCATTCTTTCTGGGGTGAGATGGTAATGCAGTGTTGTTTTAATTTGCGTTTCACAGATAGTTAGTGATGTGGAGCATTTTTTCATATATTTATTCACTTCTTTAATTTCGTCCTCTGAGAAGTGTGTGTTCACCTCAGATGCCCATTTCTGGAATGGGGTCTTTAAATTTAGAGGTCCTAGTGTATTCTAGTTCTTTAGTAATTCTAGAGAGGAGAACTTTGAGTGCTTATTTGTCAAGATTTTTTCAAAATTTTTGGGTTGTCTTTTCATGTTGTTCTTATTTTCTTTCGACGTGCAAAGACTTCTCAATAAGTGTTGGTCCAGTTGTGAATGCTTTCAAGTGTTACCCATGAGATTCGATTTTTGTTCATGAACTCTTTGCCTATCCTTATGTCTTCAAGAGTTCCACCTACTTTCTCTTCCAGGAGATTAAGTGTTTCTGTTTTAATGTAGATCTTTAATCCAATTTAACATTAGTTTAGTGCATGGTGATAGACCTGGGTCAAGTTTTATTTTTCTGCATGTAGAGAGCCAGTTTTTCCAGCACCATTTGTTAAAGAGGCCATCTTGCTTCCATTAAGCAGGTTTGGTCCCTTTGTTGAAGATCAGGTGGCTGAGTGTGTTCATAGATGCCTCTACATCTTCTAATCTATTGTATTGATCCTCAGATCTATTTCGTTCCCAATACCATGTTGATTTTCTCACAGTAGCTTTGTAGTATAATTGCAAGTCAGGAATTGTAATGCCTCCTGTCTTGTTTATTTCCTAGGATTGCCTTTGCTATTATAGGTCTTTTCCGGTCCCAAATAAATTTTAGGATCGATTTCTCTGTGTCTCTGTGGTATGTTGTTGTCAGTTTGATAGGGATTTTATTAAATGTGTAGAAAAATTTTGGGAGTATGGCCATCTTCAAGATGTTGGTTCTTGCCGCCCGACCAAGGGCCCGGGGCCACGGGCTCAGCCGATGATCATGGGCTCGGTGTCCAACCAGCAGTTAGCAGGTGGCTGCACCAAGGCAGCGGAGAAGGCGCCTGAGGAGGCGCCAGCGGATGCAGCCCGGGCGGCTGATGAGCTGCAGCTGCTGCACGGTGCCGGCATCTGTAAGTGGTTCAACGTGCGCATGGGGTTCGGCTTCCTGTCCATGACCGCCCGCGCTGGGGTCGCGCTTGACCCCCTGGTGGATGTCTTTGTGCACCAGAGTAAGCTGCACATGGAGGGATTCCGGAGCCTGAAGGAGGGTGAGGCTGTGGAGTTCACCTTTAAAAAGT